GGCCTTTAAGTACTTCACAATCAGTTCTTCTTCCTTTGGAAACTTTCTTGTCATTGATATCAAAGGTATTACTTGACTTTTCTTGGACATTAGAAGTCAAGTTTTTGAGTGAAGAGGTGTGTAAACAAGAGGGGTAAGGGTAGAAGTGACTCTTGAAGCCATACTTCAAATTGTTTTAAAGAAAGTATTAAGACTTTATTAGCAAAGAAGCATAAAAACTTCTTGTGAACATCTTTTTTATGTATGGTCAGAGGATTAGTAGAAAGAGTTTATTGCATAAATATAAAAAAATATCAAATTTTTACTGATTATATCAAGGTTTCAAATTTTAAAACAAATATAATAGTTTGATAATTAAATATTTCTATAAATAATATTATATAATTTTTCTTAATAGACCAATTAATATATATAATTTGCAATAATAAACTATAGACAATAATATTTATAGCAAGAGGGTGTTAACTAAAATTATAGATAACAATAGTTAAAAAAAATATTTGTCACTTACTGTATATAATATTCAATAAAAAATAAACAATTCATCAAATTAATAGTTACTTTGATAGATATCGATCGAAGCTATACACGTCAAGAAATTTAATTTATTTTATTTAATTATTGTAATATTAAAGAATTTTTTAAATTTATTTGGTTTGTTTGTTCTTTCGACTTGACTCCTCCACAATAACCCCTGTGCACAATTACAAACTACATTCGTATATCGGGATCTCCGCTATCAACAATTAAGTTATATACAGTGCATGATTATTAACCTGAAATGCATGCCCAAAACATCCTAATAAATTAAGAGATCCTCGCGCTTCCAACTCCGGAATCACTTGACAGAGGTGATAAAAGCGTTTGGCCTTGAATAACACCACTGCTGCTTCGTCTTTCCATGGCTTTTGATCGAGGTAGGACGGGTACAAACCCGCTAAGGAAATGAGGGTGCCTCCTTTTCCTTCTGCCACTATCACTCGAGGAGCCATTATCACCTACTTAATCATAATTGTAAGAGAGTGTTCTGTTTTCATACGTTAAGGTCATTTCATTTATTTTCGACGTTACCTTCCTCCTGGATTGAGGTTTCTTCCACGGCATCCTGTCGGAGTTGCATGCAGATTAAGCAATCGTACGTTCGACCAATTAGGTTTGCGAGTATTATGAGGGAGCATGTGAGTATTGTCAATAAAGGGCTGAACCTGTATACCAAGACTTCGTGTAAATATATAGACTTGTTGAGAATATGAGAAATTGAGCGTGTTAGATAATGATCAAATGTCGTTGGTGTAAATAAGATTTTGGGAGCGCAGTCATACCAATACCACCAACTGTGGAATATCTTCTAACATTAAACTCACAAGACTTCCCAAATATATCCACCTTTCGGCGGTGGGAGTAAATGGTGCTCGGAATATTTTAAATCTCGCTGCTTTGGAACTAATCAACTTTAAGGATTGCATATCTACATATCCTAACACAATAAATGTAATTGCGATGACGTTGTGCTCCTTTATCCATTGATAAAAAAGTGTGTTTCCGTAATATTCCCTAAAGAAAATAAACATGGTGATGAAAAAATTGACGGCCATCGAGGCTAGTATAATAGCAAGACTAAGGTAAAGTGGATGGTATTAATTAACAACCGGGCGGACAAGGTGGTCGACGCGAAGACGCGGAATAACTTACTATGGAGTATACAAGCTTGGGACATCTTGAACGCGACCGAAAAGGAAGACGATGTCCAAGGCAAAATCGGTCATAACCAGAATGAATTTAAATAATGACATGCTTTTCCCCTAAGGCGGATAATAGAAATGGAATTAGTGTGTCAATGAGACAACTCTGCGAGAATATCTACTACCTGCGGGTATCTATTGTGCGCCAGGAATGCGATCACGAGACACACAAAAAAAGCGCAAATTACGCCTGCGAACTGATATCTATATTCTTGCCATAGATTTGCTGCATTAAATGAATCGATTCCGAAAATTCCATTTAAAAATTAGCTTCTGCACGAACCCTGAAAATCGAAAACATGCATGGTACACATCCGAAACCCACGTAAAATCACGACGCCATAATCCGAATCCAAAGATGCAGTACTATTATAAAACATTAAACTAGTTATGCTCTTGTTAGTTACCAACACACTCATGTCCTGATATATCTGCATACTGTTCACTTGTGACGGATCTTGAGTAGATTTGATCGTCATCTTCAATAGAATTTGTGAACTCTGGCTATCTCCGTCAAATTGAAAACGGTTTGATATAGATAATCTCGATGCGTTCACAGGAATCGCTTCCGAAAACGAAGTCAACATTTCATTTAAAAATTTGCGTTCGTCGTCAACATTTTGGGCAACGAAAAATGCCGAAGTGTCGGCGGACAGGCGGATAATAACATCTATGTCGTCTATTGGTTTATGAAATCAATGAGAAATTCGAAAGGAAATGTTGAATGAATCGTAACGCATATATTGTATATGACACCTGTGAAAGGGTTATCATTTCCGGACTCCGTTTTAAATATCCAAGTTCCATTCTTTACGCCGAGCAAAGGTTCATCGAATTCATCCAACTTCACGAAGTTTCCGTCAACTATCACAAGATATGTTTGCCCTTGTTGATTAAAGGTGCACGGCAAAACATCTATCGAAACCAAACGGCTGTTATTGAAGCGAACATTTGGTGAAGAGGCTGGAAATGTTTGTCGAAGAAAGTCTATCATTACACCGGAACCAGTATTCGTGCGCCGATATATACTTATATTTGCTGACGATGGAATGACATCGCCATTATAAGTTACGTTGATGGATGTCAAAGCCAAAGGTATCGAATCATTGATAAGGGGATAGGTCGAATTAATAATAGGATTCGCGTATACACCTACAGTATATAAAAGAAAAAAAAATTTTTTTTTGCGTCAACAGTCAATAAACATTTTTACGTAAAGAAATAATTTCTATTTTTTTTTAAAAAACAAAAAACAAACTCTCACTGTCAACCAGAGGAGGTATGTCGCTAAAATACAATTCCCAAGAACCACCCAGGTTATTCTGAGAAGGCACAGCTGCCCATATTGTATTATTATCCATGATGTCAAACCTTGTCCCATTTAACGAATCTATGCCCCAATCTTGTACAAAACTTCCGTCCTTATCGTAAACTGAACCTTGCAAGTATCCAACTTGGTTTGTTCCAGTCATCAAGAATCCACCGTAATATAGGGAAGTGGCACTGGTATATCTTATCAATATGACACCGGACGTAACATTGACTAAATTACTGGCCAAACCTAGGGTAGAGATAAGTGTTCCGGTAGAATAGAATGAAATCATTTGCCAAAAGTCCAGTGACGATGTACGAGCAGTTGCATTCGCCGCAGCCCTAACGCGAATGAAGCACGCATAACCCGGTTGGTTCACATGATTCTGTTGACAGGAACGGATGGAAATCTTGGCTCGCGGGTAGGTGGTTTCGTAGATTATAGCAGATGTGGAAAAGTTTCGTTCACCAAGACGCATCGACGTCATAAAAACTTGAGCTGTGATGGGGGTCGGAAAGGATGTGTTGGTTGCAACAGACTGGGCATCTAAACTAACCGAGTAGGCCACGCCAAATCCGCCATCAATTGTGGTAAAACACTTGATATCGTCTATCTGGAAATGGGGTGGTGACCTTATCACGTCGTGCGATAATTGGGTCAAATTCTTCCTGTAGAATGAAAGATAAAAATGGTCAGGAGGTTTGATATTAAATGTTATGTTCTTGCCAAGATCATTCATATAAGGTGTGTTTCACGTTACTACCTATCGGAATCCCAATCATATCTCGTCCAGTTAATGGATACCCGATCATACATTGACGCGTAGAGGATCCCTTTTTGAGCAAAGTCTAGGGTCGCGACAACATTCGGATATGCTGTCGTATTTGCGATGCTCAGCGCATTACTTAACTGAAATTGACTGATGTGATTCTTAGATTTCTATCTTGGATCTCATTTTTTTTTATATTCATCTCGTCGATTAAACTTACGAATTGATTATTTCTCCGTTCATAGAAGCGATGAGCCCCGTATACCGTATGGTCAAGTTATCCAGAACTTTCCAATAACGTACCAAGAGATAATTATCTAAAAGATTTAACGGCCGCTTGGCGTTAGTGAAGACAGGGTACTGTATCGCCATCGGCGGTATTTACCTGGCAACGTGAATACGCTTATCCGATTTATCGGACAAAAATTGATAACCGGAAATGTAAAGTTCAAATTATGAGCATTCAAAGCACCACTTGGATCTATAAAGCGAAGCGCAAACGTCTTCGGCTGTTGAGGACATGAATATCTATTCGTTAATCGAACGCCGACAGTTCTATCCGGATACGTGACCAGATTTATGGGGTAGAGTGGCCCAAATTCTGCTGGCTCGGTGAAATTAAATATTCGAAGTGCCTCGGTCACCGGCGTCAAACACACAAATACGCATAAGACTACTACTGTTGTGTAAAGTAGACGCGTTCTTCTTCGGGTGCATGCCATCATTTTTTCGCGCGTACCTACTTCAACATGAATTTCGTTGCTACATATTTAGACCAGATTTGAAACATTTTAGTCACATCCTTTTTTTTATATTCGTGAGAATGGTCGGTTTGTGCAATGATCATGTATAAAACCAGGAAATTCACGAAGTTCTCTTGTACGATGTTCAATTTACAATTATGTTTTTGTCAAATTTCGTCGTCCAATGTTTGGAAATTTTCTTGCGTCAACGGAAGTTTGAATACTAATGGTACCAAAGTTCGGGACAGGTTCATTCCTTATTTACATGGCATGTGAAAAAGCGAGATAAAGGTTAAAAAAATTTTTATTCACCTAGGCGGTATTGGCGAATAGGTGATTTCCAAGGGGGTTTTTTTTTATAACTTTAAAATCCAAAAGCTATATCGAATAATTAAGTAACAATTTTTCGTTTGATGATATTCTTTTTTAGATTACATTATAGAGAAACAAGAAATTTAATAGGCGACGAAGGAAACAAGGCTTTTTAAGCCTGCTCCCGTAATCGACCCGTATCGCTCCTAGTACATGGTCTGCCCTGTGAGCACGTTCGAAGTAATAGACTACGGTTGTGACAATTGGAATGACTCTGTGAAATTTCACGACTTTCCTATATGGAATTCTGACGCATAAGTGAAGAAGTTCATTGACCGAGAAATTTATTGATGATACGGCTATCACCCCTTTGCACATTCCACACAGTAGGCCTCTCTTCCTTTAGCCTAGGCCACAAGCCCCTTCCCTGCTCGATTTTTCGTTGTACAGGGAATAAAAACGAATCTTGATCTTATCGTGGATTGATCTGAATTGATCACAATTATATCGAGGCTTTGCGCACTACGAGATTCTGGTTTATGGCATCGCCGAAGAGAGACTAAGGTGATCTGGCCAATGGGAAAGGACGGTGACGTTACACTCGAGGTTCCACCAATATAAATATGTTTAATGGAATAAATCATAAATCTCTACCGGAAATGAATTTCTATAAACAAGCCTCAGATATCTTAGAAAAGTTGCAAAACCTTAAAGGCAGCATCAAAAGCCTCACATTGGCCGATAATGTAAAAGAGAAGAAAAAAATGTATGCATTGATATGTGAGACATTGAAATGTAAGGTGACATTAAGAAATTGAAAAAATTTTTTCCGAGAAATGTGATTAATTTTTGCATGCTTTGCCATTGAAATTTAATGAAGATAAGAATGTGATCGATACAATCATGGATAATTCTCAATTGCTTGTGAAGGAGAAAAAGGCAACCCCCTATTACATATATTATTACTGAGAATCAACTTCTTTATTTGATCTGTCCGAGAATTGCCAAGCTGATAAATTTGATCTATACACAATTTACGCAATTCATAGATTCCGAGAAATATTGCAGTACTATTGGTACACGACCTTTTATTTTCACCCAATGGTATAAATTCTTTGTCCGACGGTCCCTACAAGCAATCAATTTTGAGGCACGAAATAAGATTAAAACATGAATTAGTAAAGTTAAAAATTAAATTGAAAGTGAAGAACAATGCAGATTTGATAAATCCGGAACTAAAAAGTTCGAGTAGGTGTTGGTGTTGTGCCTAGATATCTGGTTCACTGGTTTTACAATGTCTCCTCACCTCATGCCACTGGGAAAATTGAATAGTCACAATCCCAAGATACGTTAGGGTCAACACTCTTAAAACTACTGTCGACAAAGTGTTGGAACATTTTGAAGGAAAGGGATACAAATTTGAAAGATCAATAGAGGATCTGAGCAATATAAGGTATTTGACAAACAGATTATACAATGATAGCTCATCAATGGAATCAGAAATAACGAAGAACGTATTTGTTTCATCTCCGACAAAGACCAAAGACCATCCTTAGAGATAAACATATACCCGAACTTCTAATCTTACCTTCTAACACCGATCTCCACAATCATCCGCTCTACTTATCCGGCTATATTATTCTCCAGGTATTTTTCTTTTCTTTCTTTCTTTCTTTCTTTTTTTTCTTGGAGGACATCCAAATAGCCGAAAAAACCTTGGTATTTGTTGACAACCGATAGCGACAAATTTCTAGGACAAGGCATCGTGTTTTCCTTCGTTTATTTGCTCTCCGCCCCCTGACGCGCACGTAATTGATGCATGCGCTGCTCCGGGAAACAAAACTTCGCATCTTTCAGCCATAATGCAAAATTCGGGAAAAATATGGGCTTTCGATCTCGATAAAAATCGACTGAATTTATTAAGAAAGTTAACACAAAAGGCGGGATGTGAAAGTAAGGTATTTAAATCTAAGGTTGAATCCCGTATCCAGAAAATTGAAAAAATTTTCAGACATAGAAGCTATCCACGGATCATTCCTGGAAGAAAATCCACTGGATTCGAAATATTCGAGCGTTGATTATATATTGCTCGACCCCTCATGCTCTGGATCCGGTATTGTGAGTCGATTAGCAGGTAGGTCGTTGTAACTTTGTTCTCAGATATGATTGTCACCGGTTAAGTTGAATTATTTTATGACAGAAAACTCTCAGGATCAACCTGATTCCACACGGAAACCTTTGACGGAACGTCTTAAAAATTTAAGTGAATTCCAAGAAAGGATAATACTGCATGCATTTAAATGTATTGAGTTTTTCGCCTTTGATATGTGTTTATGTATGAACATGATTAATCTCTGATTAAGATGATTTTCTTTATTTTTCTCGATTTATTTAGTTCCTTCGGTTAAAAAGATTGTATACTCAACATGTTCGGTCTATGCACAGGAGAATGAACATGTGGTTAAACGTGCACTGGAGCAGACAAATATATTTGAGTTGGCCGATAAGAAGGATGTGATGCCTTCATGGCCAAGGCGTGGTATTGCAAGCGAAATGAGTGATAATGAAGGTTCGTGTAGATATGTCCAGCACGATGTGAAATCTTACTGAAATCCTTTTTCTTCCCACCAACAACATAGAGGCAGCCGGAAAACTTGTGCGGTCAATTCCAGATGAGGATTACACCAACGGATTTTTCGTAGCTTGTTTTATTCGAAAACCGATTCAAGATGGGGATGGCGAGAGAAATGGCAGGAATGCAATGGCTAACAACGTCATAAAGAAATCCAAGAAGAGGAAAAGGAGTAATAGTAAAATTACCAATAGACATTCTAATTTTGGAGGGAATAATAAAAGTAGTGTTGAAAGTGTTTCCATGATCAATGAAACAAATATCAAAAATTCTTCGCCGGAAACTAAGAGTTCAAAAAAGAAGAAAAATAAATGAATTGTGAAAAAAAGGAACTCATTGATTGCGGTTAAAATTTTTGAGCAATAAGATAACAAGAACCCTGTGTTTCAATTCATTGACGAATCGATAAAATTTCAAGAATTGTTGTTGTTTTAAATAACTTTCGCAATTTGTATGATATTCACGAAACAGGAACCGTGATATACATACGAACGAAGATAGCTTCATTAAGAATTTCAAAATGACAGACAATGGTACAGTACATGCGGATTTCCATTGCGTATAGAAACAGAATATTATATTTCACGTTTGGAATTTCTTCTTTTCGTTATTAAACTCATATTGCAATGGAGAAAATTGACAGGAATGTTTGAAAGAAACGAATATATAAACCAAGTTTGAAAGTACTTTTGTATAATACAGAATTGTTGAAAACAAGAGCAAGGAGATAGGTATTTGTCTGAATAAATAAATAATATTTATTAATAAAAGTTAAATATTTGATTACATTTTTTTTTTTAATTTTTATAAATTGTACTTTTAATAATTTGAATAAACCCAGAATTTATTCTAAAATTTGAGAAAAAAAGTTTGTCTGTTAGATGAAAATATATTAAAATATTTATATTTATAAATTAGTCGATCTTTATTATATAAATTTATCTTAGCTTAATTTTATTTTATTGAAAGAATAACTTTTTTATTTTAATATTAACTTTTAAAAAAATAGTGCTATTGATTTATCTATTATTGTATAAAAAACTAATAAATAGTTTTATAACTTAAACTTTAAAAAAAAAAAAAAAAAACTCTTTCCACTGATCCTCAAAATTTTAGAAAATTTTCTTTTATAGTAATTTTCTAAAGACAAAACCTTCTCACAAGAAACAATCCCAAGGAGAGATAACAATAACAACAACTTCCCCCCTTATAATATACACTTGATTCCTGATAACAAGGAAGAGACAATGCTAGTCAATAACAATATCTTTATATCCTTGTTTTGCTTAAGAAAAAAGAGAAAGCAAGGACAAATTGATTCACAGTAAGTTTCTTGAGATCCAACATCAACTTCACAGGACTCTTAGCTAGGCCAGTGTAGGTTAACACCTTTCTAGGCACTAAGAGAGATTTCAGAAGCAATAATCCAAACCAATAAATCAGTTCAAAGTCAAGTTTCCAAAAACCTAGAAGGATGTTCAGATTTCTTGGGTCAAACAATAAAGATCAGTATTAATCAATCACAATAACTGATCTATCAAATTCATGTTACATGAACACAAACATATAAAAATGAATATAATCCAATCATGATGAAACAACAAACTCAAGACATGTCAATACATTATAAAGAAGTAATACATGTCAATTGGATCATATCAAGATCAATAAACAAGTAATACACGTGTAGATAAATAGAATCAGTATTAAGATTGAAACATGAGAAGAAACAATATATTGGTATGGATTATTCAATTATATAACCCAATATAGTACCTTATTTACAGATCAGTACAAAAAAAAACAACAAAATATCAAAACAACCTAATAAATGTAATAGTTTATCCACCTTATGTGACAACATAACTCAAAAAGAGCAAAATATCATTAGAATTTTGGAAAAACATGAGTAAAAAATCTTTAAAGTATTAGAAAATGTCATTACTAGCTATGATCTCCAACAAGAACTATGGGAAACAAAAATACTACAACGCAAGCTAGAACATATAACAGGAGACCAACCACATATTCCAATAGGAGCAATTCACGTAACCTCAATATTAGACAATATTTTAGTCACTCTATTAAATATAGAACCTGAAATCTTGACAGAAGAACAGATGTTAAGAAAATATATTTTCTTTTTGTAGAAAAAGGGACAAGGCAAGAAACAAGACTTCGAAGCTTCTATGCTTAAAGAAAAGGTGTGTAACATCTTAACAAACAAGGCAGGAAATTATACTGCAAGTTACAATATAAAAGAATCCAAGGGAACAGATAACATTTCGATAGATATTCAATCAACTTATATAGAAACTGAAGAAAGCCAACAAATTAAAGAAGTTAAAATAAAAGACCAGAACATATCAGAACTGACAGAAGCAGAAGCAATTAATGAAACAGTTCAAGAAACCTATATTACAGAGAATTTTTCTTACAATACATGCAACAGAATACAAGATTTCACAGTCAATCCTTACTTTATCAAATAAATAGGTACAATCAAATTGAGAGTGCTTCAAACTACCTACCTGGAGACAACAAAAAAGAAGAAATCAAATATTTCAAAGAAACTCTAAGTATTTCCAAGAGACAAAATCCCTTCAAAACTAAGTTTATCAATAGCAATCACTGGATCACTTTTGATATTGATGAAAAGGAGGATACAACATAATGTTTAGAATCAATTAATAAAAAAGAAGAGGAAAACTTCTCCATTAAGAGAATGGATCAAGATAGGAGTACACATCTAGCCTTTCAAAAATATACTTTAAACAAAAGATTCTTCAAGCCAGAAAACTTTCCTTCGACAAAAACTGATTAAAGTAAATTACATTGATGGATACAAAACGCAAATGTAATAATCAATTAATCAAAAAGATGATAGAAGAATATAGAAAAATAGTCAATATTCATAAATATTGTATAACTTTTCATCAAAAAAGATTCAGAATCCATTTTTTTGCATATTATAAGCATATCAAATTGGAACAACATTGGGTATTCAAGATTAAAGCCAATCAAGTAAGATCAGTAATAGCTCAAAAAGAGTCAGAAAATCAAAAAGTAATCCAAATACTCAAAGAAAAAAAGCATCACTTTTTAAGACTGTATAAGGTAAAGGGAAGATCTATAGAATTGATAACTGAATTACTTAGTCAGACAAAAGCAAAAGCCTCTTACATATCAAGAAATAAGATTACTCTAACACCAGAAGATTATATGGTAATTTACTTTGAAAATGAGAAAGACTTGAAAGAGGCACTTTAGTAACAAATCATTATTGAGAACTAAAGACTAGTATGGAATGTGAAAAATCACTATTAACAATAATATAGAATGTCTATTAACTCAAACAACTCATATAAATCAGATATCCTGAATGATCTTACTGAAAAAGAAGAAAAGTAGAGATACAAGATTCATAGAAAGACAACAGATAACCATATTAAGATGGAATATCAGAGTATGGCAACAATAGATACTGAAAAGAGTAACAATCACTACATAAGAACTAACAGACATACATCAAGACCAGATCCACCAATCACTGGTAGCAATAGAAAACCTTTAAGAAGAAGAAAAAGTTATGTGTCATATAGAGAAATGCAAAGTTAAGGAAAAGAAGAAAACAGTGACATCAACACTAGCCAACAAGAGAGACAAACAACTAGATGCAAAACCAAAAGCTCCCAATCAAATCCAAGCCAGGAATCTGAAGTATCTCAATTATGCAAATTAATTGAAAAACTTAGCAAAAGGATCGACAAACTGAAAAAAGGCTCACTTAGATAGAGGGTCAACCATTTCTAAAAAGGAGCACTAGTTCAATCACAGAAGGATAGGAAATACCCGCCTACTATTCCTAACATCCAAAAAACTAACAAGGGCAAAGCATGACAGGAGGAACAAATTAATATGAAGGACCAGTAGTATAATCAAGATTTTGAGACTTTCCTTCAAATAGAAAAAACTATATTCATAAATAGGAAAATATCACTAGAAAATGAAAACCAAAAAGGCATAGATATCGAAAAGAAAGTAATAAGAATTGAAATACACAATATTAGAGATATTGCCGATAAAACAAATCAATATAACCTTATAGAAAAAATACTAAAACAAGGTATTGGAATTATGGGTCTATGTGAAACAAAGCTAACCAAAGCAAAAGCAAAATGGGCTTTCCAAAATCAAAGGATGTATAAACACTTTTACAGTGCCAACAAAAACACTTCTATGGTGCAGGGGTTAGCTTACTGGTAAGAAAGAATCTGGAAAAGAAAATAGCATTGGTAAAAGAGACTGAAAGACACATAATAGCAGTCAATATGCTCATGAGAAGAAACAAGATATGCATTATTCAGATTTATATCTCCTCTGACAAACAATAAAGTAATAGAGTACAAGAGAAAATACAAAACTTCATTAAAGAAAAGCATAGACAGAATTTTCACATAATAATTATGGGAGACTTCAATGCTGTATACAACCCTGTAAAAGATAGAGCATCAACTTCCAGGGCAACATTCAAACCATCCTGGCATCCAGAAATCCAACTATTTAATTCTCTATATGAATGGGATTTTATAGATACACAAGCAATATGGGAAGGAAAGAACAAAACTCCAACAAGATGGGATGCTACTAGTAGTAGCTGAATAGATTTTATATGAATATTATAGAGCCTCACAAAATTTTCATTATTACATTTCGACAATCAAAGTATAGAGGAAATAATAGACAGTGACTACACAATGCTCATGATAATATTATATGATGACAATCTGTTCTTCAGAGATGGTATTAATCAATCCACTATAAAAAATAAAAGGAAAATCTATATTAAAGGATCAATAGTAGAACAATGGCAAGCATTTAGAAAAAGTGTAAACCATAAGTTTCAAATAATGCTGGAGTCTTTGTTAAAGGAAGAGCAGAAGAAGGTAAAAAAGAAACTTATGTAAATACAATATGGAAAGTCTTTGAAAAACAAATATGTAAGGTAGCACACAACAAACTGACCAGTAAGAAGATATCCACTATCCAAGAAAAATATTATAAGTATTGCCTAAAATATATCAAATATAGATGAGCTCTTCAACTTAAAACACTTCTCAAGAAAGTGCAAATCACACAAGAACCAAACAAGCTACAGGCCCTTAGTGTAGC